CGGGGAACTCTGCAAAAAACGCATCTTCGCACGGGCAGCCCGTGCGTTGGCCAATTTTTCTTTTTTTTTTTTTTTGACCATCAAAAGATGTCATTTAAAATCGAAAACTGTTTGTCACCATCGACTTTTAGTGAAAAAACAAACGGATGAAAACAGGGTTTTTGTGCCATGATGAACGTTGTGTTCGCACAAGTGTCCCGTTTAATAATTTATGCTCTGGTATCATTGATGGGACATTTGCGGTCCCGCACATAGTTCATGCTGCCAGTGTGCCTGCCCGCGAGCGTAAAATGAGCTTTTACACGCAAAATCTCATCTGTGAAATTGTCAGCACCTTCTTCGCACGCAAATCAGCCGTGCTGGGAAGTCGCAGGTTCATGAGATCTCGTGGCAAAATAAAATTGGCTCAGCCAGAGGCTGTGTTCCCGAAGGTATGCGAAGCTGCAAGCAGTAATCTCAGTGGCTGAGAGTCTTAGGGGGAAACAATTTGGTGATGTCTTTTTATAAAATTGACAGTATTGGACTTCTGCTGTAGGACGAGACAGATGAGATAACAGCCGATCTTAGCCCAGCCAAGATTAACTTCTCATACATTTCGGTGTAGGATCATTTCTTAGCCTACGTTTGAATAATTCTAAATGCAGAGTGGCGCATCGAAGCATGCCGTATTTCAAACGAATCGCTCAGCTTCGTAAAGTGAATTCGCTTGCCATTGGTTTAAAGAATCGCTCAAGTGATAATGATCCATCGCTCTTCTACCGCGAGATCTTGCTGCGAGGGTTTGTTTTTTTTAGAAAGGGGTTTTCTTTTTTATGCGCGATGTGCTCCAACAGTGGCACAAAACGGATATTGTCGAGACCCTGTCCGTATATTTGTGTTTATGTCTGCGTATCGTTGCATCTGGGCGTGTGTATGTGTGCGTAGGTGTGTGTGTGTACGCATGGGTGTGTGTGTGTGCGTATGGATGGGTGTGAATCTGTATTTAAGTCTACATGCGCATGTACATGCCCACGCATTCTTTCAGGATTTTTAGTTCAGGAACTAAGGTGGATTAGGGAGTGAAGATTTTAGGAAAAGGTTCCCCGGGCGACTGCAACCTAATATAAATTGAGCTTCTGTGTACGCCTAAGCCTAATAAATGTGAACATATTGACTAAAGTGAATAAATCGATTTTATTTTCAGCGAGGATCTGAGAAGAACTTGCTTCAGAGATTTTTTTATTGATGTGGATTCTGAGGTGGCAATTGAAAGTGACTCCGAGACATTGAGTGAAAATCCAGCAAGCAACATAGCAGTTAATATCAGCAAAATATTGCTTAGACCGGAAGAAGGTGGTTTTCGAGTGGATGATGATGACGATGATGATAATTTTGACGTTGACGATAATGTCTGTGGTGCCAGTAACTGTGATGCGGTTGGACCAAGCAGTCTACTGAGGCTGATTAACTGCGACATGATGTAAGTGCTTAAGTTTAATATTATGTTCACGTGCATATGTACATGGCCGTGTACGAATCACCAGGCGTAAGATGAGCTTCTGCTTAGGCAAGGATCAAACTGCAGCATCGCAGTCAGACCCTCAGTAGTGCAGGCGATCTCCTTAAGCTCCGCAAACATGCAAAAGCGCATAATCGTACCGGTAGTCCTGGTACTTTAACTATCTGGGAGGTTTTTTTTTGTATTACATGCGACACTTTTAGGCGCAGGCACTGTATTTCTTCATCTTTTTTTTCTGGTCTACGCTTACACCGCTTTGGTTTAAATTTAGCTGCCTCTGCCCTAATTCTCCCGGCATTTTTCGGCTCACTATTTTGCTTAAATGGTCGGTTAAACCCATTTTCGCTGTTATTTCATACCCTTAATCACTTGAGCATACATAAAATGTGTAAGGCAGTCGTGTTTTTGCCTTTTTACTAAATGTGGTGAGCCAGAAAATTTTGTTTATTGTGATTGGTATGACTCTGTCTTTCGTATTTTCGCCGATTTAATTGAGCTTAAAATACTAAAGCATCAGATTTTCGCTCGTTTTTTTTATGCGTTTTGTGCTGTGTAACAGCAGTACAAAACGCATATTGTTACGGGCTGTCTGTGTGTGTGTTTGTGTTGTGGTGTGTGTGTGTGTGTGTGTGTGTCCGCAGCAACTTGTCCGCAACTTTCAACTCGGGAACCACAAACGCTAGGAAGCTGAGAACTTAGGGTAACGTTCCCCACCCACGTGTGACCCCTCAAATTTAAATTCAGCTTCCCCGTACCCGTGGGTAACGCGTACGGCCCTGTGAAAGTTTTCTAAGGGTAACTTAATATCTCGGGAACCACGGAGTCTAGAAGGGTGAAGTTTTAGGGTAATGACCCCCTGCCTACCCTCAACCTTGCTTATTCGAATTCAGCCTTCCCTTACCCGCGGGTAATACGTACGGCCCCGTGAAAGTTTTCCACGGGTAAGTTAATGTCTCGGAAACCTCGGAGTCTAGGAGGCTGAATTTTTAGGGCAATGACCCGCTGTCCACCCTCAACCTTGCCCATTCGAATTCAGCCTTCCCATACCCGCGGGTAACCCGTACGGCCCCGTGAAAGTTATTCACAGGTAAGTTAATATCTCGGGAACAACGGAGTCTTGGAGGCTGAAATTTAAGAATTATGACCCCCTGCTCACGCTCAACCTTGCTCATTCAAATTCAGCGTTCTCGTGCTCTCGGTTACCACCTACGGCCTCGTGAAAATTTTGGCGATAAACTGTTAACTCGGGAATCACGGAAAGATGTTCATCCTTCAAGGTTTCGAATTCAGCTTTCATGCGCTGGTGCGTGAAATGTTTAACTCTTTTCCAATGTTTGAACTATTTTTGCATAGACTAAAGAACAAAGCAGTGAAAATCATTAACGGGCAATCGTTCGGTCG